CTCTCGTATCTAAATCCAGCAGAAATTCCGCGATTGGAATCGTGATTCATCCGGGATTTCCTCCACGGCGGAATAATCTATGTACGGAACGTTGAGAGAGGAGAGTGCGATATATTTATTTTTATAATATGCAAGTTTTTATTTAGCGACAAAGATTTCGATAAAAACTCGTATTATAAAAATATAATATATATTAGGATTTATACTAGATAAAATATAGAAAAAAGATAAGCGAAGATAAATAAAATATATAAATAAAAATAAAATATATAAGAAAAATAAAATATAAATAAAAATAAGTAATACATTATATTATAAATAGTACATTATATGTATATATTTGCATCTAATTAATTTTTATTTATATTTTTTCTAATATTTATTTATATTTTAATATTTATATTTTATTTATATTTATATATGTATTTCTGACGGAAACAAATAAAAGTTACTTTTTAAAAAAATCCTGTTAGGCGTCTCTGTTAAATAATGGAAAATAATTTCTCCGAAGAATTTCGCCGAATTTTACGCCTCTAATATGCATACGCGATTTCGGCTGTCGCGGGATCTTAAATCGGGCCCCCGAGACAGGTAGTCCTTAAAAGATGGGACGGAAGAAGGAGAGAGGAGCTTCCCCAGAGAGCGTCGACGTTGGAATGCGAAAGCGTGGGTTTGGTTCGGCCGTAACGCGATCTCGATATACAGCGATGTTGCTGATCAAAGGGGGGAGGGAAAGGGGGAGGGAGGGCCCCCGAAGGTGTACGCATGTGTAACGGTACTTTTGCGCTCGATCCAATCGGCCTACCTCTGGAAGTGGAAGAAAGTGAACGAGCGTCATCGTCGGCGTCTGCTTTGCGCCGAGAAGAGGATAGAAAGAGAGGACTTTCTCCCGCGAGATCGGTCATCTCGAAAATTCGCGAGAAGATCGACATTCGTCATCTCCAGTCGAGATTTTTCTTTCAACGTTAAGGGGATCCTAAACGGCCTTGAGTTTCAGTCCTGTTTTATCGACAAAATGTGAGGTTAAATTCAACTAAAATCAATTTATTTGCTATACGGATTGTTTTTTACCTGAAATTAGAAGAATTCAAGAATTCTGCAACCTAGATATATGAGACTATACAGATCGATCGATCTTTTTCTCGTCCAAATTTAAGTATTAATATTAACAAATTGCGAAGTGCTCTAATTTCAGGAATCTAACATCACATTTTGTCGATAAAACAGGACTAAAACTCAAGGACGTTTAGGATTCCCTTAATGAAGAGAAACAAGAAATTCAATCAGGAGTGGGATTTCTCGTTTACTCCCCGAGGCAGGTTGCTATAAGTCCCCAAGAGACCGAATACGACGATGACTGACTTAACTGGAGTAGATGCAGAAAGCGTCGGGGTCCAAGATATAAATAGCCACTACCACTTACCGTCAATTCAAAGCGAGAGCAAGACTGTAGTTCCTCTGTACGACGCGGCGAAAAATTCCTCCTCGAGGATTCATCTAACTACTCTCGGAGTGAATTGCCAGATTGGCCAATTAATTGCGTTATTCGATCGTATAAAGAAATCAACCATAGGATAAGGATTTAACCAATTTTCTATCATATTTCTGCATTTTTGGGTAACTAGATATCAATAGTGTTTTTTGATTCATTGCACTGACAATTTTTTATAGCAGCTACTAGGTTCAAACATTCTATCTCTTATACTTTAGAAGGTTTTTGAGTACAAAGATTCTTTATTTTGTTTCGTCCGCCGGAGAAAAGTTTCGACAGATTTTTAATATTTAAAAAATATTAAAATTTTGTGATTTTTTTGACAATCTATTTTTAATATCAATATCTTATATAAATTTCATAGAAAATTGTTCAAATTTTTTATGATAATATTTATATAAATTAGTACTAATCCTTATTTATTTAATAATAGATAAACAAATAATAAATTAATAATATCTTAATGTATAATATAAAATAATAAATTAATAATAATAAATAGTTTCTAAAAATAATAATTTTAAAATAATTACATAAATTATTTTTGTTTTCTATTTTTATCTTTTCATTTTATATTTTATTTTTATCAGGGAATTTTATTGTATTTTTAAATTTGTATCCATTTTTAATTTATTGACAGACGAACAATTTTTCTCGAAATTAATTTCTCCAAATATTCAAATTGATACTTCAAATATTTAGTCAAATTGCGACAGCATTAAATAAAACAAGTCGTCGATGAAATTTGTATTATCAACGCGACAGGCACGCGATACCGAGAGACGGCCACGACCTCTGATTATAAAGAATTCTGTTAATCGTTTCCAATTTATGTTTCCCGCGGCATCAGGAACGAAGAGGGAGATTTTGAGTCGAGGAAAGTTTTACAGTCGACACGCACACGCATTTAATTGCCATTCCTTTGTTGCTCGTCAAAAATTGCTAGCGGCTACGTGGAATTGAATGACGTTTCAAGCCATCGCGTGTGTACATCTGTACATTCGCTAGATCGAATCGCAAACAACACGGAACTGATCAGCTGATACACAGATCAATGTCAGGGAAAAAGAAAAAAAAAGGAAGAAAATAACGCTATTATATAAGCGTATTATTTTAAATTGTTAATTAATCGATCGATGAAGAGGAAATAAATACAGGATGTTTACTTTATTGTAAAAAAATTCTCTGAGAATATTCACTGATAAAGATAAAAATATAAAACAAAAACTAATTTATTATAAACGTCTCTCTCTCAGAGAATACTACTTATTTAAATTAATTATTTATTAATTTATAATTTATTTATTAGTTATTAAATAAATAAGTACTAATTTTATTTAAATATCTATAATAAATTTGAACAATATTTTTTTTAACTTTATAATTTATATAAATTCTTGAATAAATATAAATTGTCAATAAAAATAGATTTGAATATTAACAAGATATGTTATACGTTTCTTAAATGTTAAATAAAAATTATCAAAAGGATAATTTTCTTAAAAGTTTCAATCAAAATCTATGAAAATTTCCCGATAAAATAAAAATACAAATATAAAAATACAAAAAATACAAAAATAAAAAATAATTTATTATAAACGTCTTTCCAGAGAATACTAATTTAATATAGATTATTTATTAAAATTATGTATTAATTTATGATTTATTTAATTAGTTATTAAATAAATAAAGAGTACTAATTTAGAAATTATCTATTAAAAATTTGAATATTTTCTATGAAATTTATATAAGATGTTGATACTAAAAATAAATTGCCAATAAAAAAACCACAAAATTTTAATATTTCCAAGATATGTCCGACATACTCGAGTGCTAAATGAAAATAAAATTAACACAAGGATAATTTTTAAAAAATTTTTCCGAATCTCAATCAAATTCCATGAGAGAATTCCCTGACTTTTTGAGGTTGAACAAAGAAATATATTCCTATATATATTTATTTCTTTCCTTTTCCTTATATTTATTCCGTGTCTCGACCGCTGTCTCTTTAACTTTAATATATGGATTCGTATCTAACGCGCACCGATATATAACGATCGATGAGTCAGAAACGTCATTGCGTCGAAGAAATACGCTCGATTTGTCGACGACGTAATGGCGACACATAGGGCGACTCGGCATGCTCGAACGAGTTTGGTAGACCCGAAGACGTCGCCTCGTTAGTGGATGAAGTTATTAAGTGCTCCCTCGTTAACGACACAGAATGGTCGTAAGCGTGATCAGAGAGAGAGAGCGCAACATTCACTATTACATATCTATCGATACGATAAATCGATCAATAATCGACGGGGAGCAATATAATTGCAGTGTAATAGTATAAACGTGAAATGATCGGAAATGGCTTTCATGAAAGTGGAAAAAGATTTCTTCCATGTATGATAACACGATATACACGCTTATCGAAGATGCCAAAGTGCTTTTAATTGCTTACAACTTTCTATATTTTACGCTGATTCATATAATAATGTCTGATAAATGACTTGATAAGTCGTAACCAAGAAAGAAAATTCTCGTTATTTGCATCTATGATATTTTTCATGTTTGTTGCGAGATTAAGATTGAAGATGACATTTGATCAATAATGTGTCTAACGCGACGTGACGTTTTTATTACGTAAAATCGGTTTAACCTTTCTGCCGAAGCGCAATTTTTCACCTTTCCATCAATGTATTATGGGTACCAATTGCGTTTCCTGATACATATTGCGATAATTTTTTTAGCAGCTGCTGGACATCGAAACGTTTTTCCATTATTATTTTAAGAGGTCTCCGAATACAGAGAAGGCCTTTCATATTTTGTTTCGGACGCAGAAAAGACATTTTTAACATTTAAACGCCTCCGGCACTGGATACCCGTTCATTGAGAGAAGGGTTGAGAGATCACTTTCGACAAAAATTCGAGACGAAATAAAAAATATTAGTTACCATGTTCAATATTTTTAAGCTACAGTTTAATAGCCAATTCGCCATTAAATTATAATTAGCAGTGTATACTAAAATCTTATAAATAAATTCCATGATTTTCCAGGTACTTCTGTTCAAAATTCCAAGTAAAATTAAAGTATTTAAAAAATTTTAAATACAATTTTAAATTAAGTCTATTTTTGTTATGCATAATTTTTTTAAATACAAAATTTTTAATATAATAATATATTATATATATTTTATAATAAAATATATTTAATATAATTTATCTAAACCTAATATATTTTACATTCTTTAAAAATATTTTTGAAAATAAAAAAGGGCAATTTTTTAAAAAATTCTCCGCGAGTTTAAAATAAATTTCATGAGTATTCCAGGATTTTTAAGGTAGAAAAAAATTCCCTGAGAATTCCAGGCTTTTTCGAAGTAATACATCCTGTTAAAGCTCAAATTACATATGATAATGAAATTTCAGGTGCGATATAGGGACACCTAAAATTGAACTATAGGTAGCTAATATCTTTTTTTTTCGTGTGACAATTTCTTAGCTCTTTTCTACCAACCTTGACCGTTGGAGTGATTTTGTTGCGGCGACTGGGGCTGGCCCTGCGTCAGAATAATTTGGCTCTCGAGCTGCTGCAACTCCGCCTGGAGTTCGTTTAACTTGCTGTTCGACTTCTTCACAATCGTCGCGACATCGGAAAGCGACTTGCGATCGGTCGCGACTTCTCTCAACTTCTCCGCTCCGGCTTTTATCTTCAGCTCCTGTGAAAGTTCAATAATACAATAATCTCTTCAATGGAATCTCAATGCATTATCACTGATAAGCGGTTGTTTTCGAATCTAAATATAACATCGCCAACAATGAAGTTTTATTGAAAGAATCAGTTATATAGTGACTGTTTCAATCAATGATATTTTAAAATGCATCTCGTATTATAAATTTTTATAATTTTTATTTTATAAAAAAAATATCTGAATTTCATTGTATATAAGTTGTCTTATTCTTTTCTTGTATGTTTATATCTTCAGAAATGTAACATATTATATAATATACAATATAGAAAGCTCCCCCCACACACATAAACATATCTATAATAAAACACATAACTAGTATTAATACATAAAAAGACACATAAAAAATGACACAAAAAAATGACATAAAAAAATAGTAGGTAAAATAAATAGAAATATTATAGTACTGACATAAAAAATGACACATATGTATGTACAATAAAAAGTAGCATTTAAAATAAATAAAAAAACTTTATATTACATGCAAATATGTACGATTATGACTATAAATTTTCAATTAAATCTCACCGCTATAATTTATGAGACATAAGATGGATGAGCACAATGTGAGCATGTTTGAAGATCAGAAATAATACTTGTTATACAGAGTGTCTACTCAAATCTTATAAAAAAATTCCGTGAGAATTTTCTGATTTTAGGTTTTTTCGTTTATTTCAGATAAAATAAAAAAAATTTGTGGATGCAGTTTTTTTTAAATAAGTTTCTTTATAATTTGCGCTTTCTAATGTTTTCTATTCTATTCCATTGCAAAGTTATCAAAAGTGCAATCTTTCTAGCATTGATTAATTGTAAAATTAATTTGGACAGTAACAAAGTGTGACATATCACTATAAAATATATACGAAATTACAAAATAAAAATAAAACAAAAAGTAATTTATTAAAAATGCCTTAATAAATATTAATATAATATTTATTAGTAATAAGTATACTAATTTATTTAAATTAATTATTCATTAAATTATTGTATTACTTATTTAATTATTTTTTAAGTAAATAAGAAATACTAATTTAAATAATATATATTAGAAGATTGAACAATTTTCTATAAAACTAACGTGAAATCTTGATATTAAAATATTTTCAGATTGTCAATAAAAAAAAATCACAAAGTTTGAATAATAACTTAAATATTACAAAGATATATGTTTCTTAAGTGCTACATAAAATAAAATTATCAAACAAACAATATTTAAAAAAATTCCATAAAGCCTAATCAAATTCCATGAAAGAATTTCTTGATTTTTTAAGATAAAACAAAATTTTCTGAAAATACTAGATTTTCAAAGGTTTTTTCAAAAGCATATAACAACTTGCTATATGTCATTGCTTTAATCACACACAGTAGAAAAATTGTGTTTTCTGTTAAAAATAGTACCCGTTAAAATGGTTGTGTTAATTAACCTTAAATGTTAAATTATTAATACAACTGAAAAAAGATGTAAAACTAACAATGTGTATTTATTTTTAATTTTATATAATAAATATGTTCTGTTTTATTAGTGACAGGATTTATCTATAACATTGACAGAAAAAAATGTTAATTTTCATTTTATAATATAAGTAGGGATGATAAAATCTAAAATTAACATACTATTAGTTAATTTATAGATTAAAAAACTATGTTAATTTAACATAAAAATATATGTGGAAATTACTTTTGCATTTATTTTGTGTTAAAATATTAACACAGTATTTGTGTCTCCATTTAATATATCCTTATTATATTAAATTATCAATCTTTGAATAACACAAAAATTTCTGTACGAAAGACCGTTTACAAATATTTCAACTGTGCAGAGATATTTTCGCTAATTCGAAAAATTCGACCCGTACATCGCAAAAACCAGAAGACAAGAAATCGCGAATGACCACCGGTTCGTTTTGGGCGAAAAAGCGGAGCCGCGCGTTCCGCGGAATTTAACTGCATACATTATTTATTATGCGGCGCGGCGTGTTGCTTCGCTCGAAACGCATCCATCGTACGCCGCTCCTTCGTACAGTAAATGAAACGTAAAATTGCACACGTGCCCAATGATACCCTTCGCTATTCTATTACCGTCTGTGTTGCACAGTCAGTCGCCCGCGAACGTTAGCAATGAATCACCCGCGATGGAGTTTTTATTTTCTAATCTGGAGCATGTGTTACACCACGCGACATATTGTACAATCTCCAACTATTGTGTCAATATATCGAGTGAAACAGAAATAATTTTCTTTGACAAAAAATATTTAAAAAGGAGAATAAACTGTTTATTTCGCTCCTCTCTCGAAGAACAGAATAAAAAAAAAAGAAAAAATTGTTTATTCAGAGTGTATCTCAACTCAAATCTTTAGAAATAAATTCCCGGAGAATTCCATGATTTTCCAGGTACTTTTGTTCAAAATTCCAGATAAAATTAAAGTATTTTAAATAATATTTAGAACATACAATTTTGAAATAAGTTTATATGTTATACATAATTTTTTAACATATAAATGAAGTATTTTTTTTAATATAATAATGTAATAATATAGTATTATATTATAATAAAATATATTTTAATATATACTTTATATAAAACTTATAAATTTATATTCTTTAAAACTATACCATATTTTAAAATCAAAGGGACAATTTTTTTTTAAATTCCCTGAGTTTAAATCAAATACCATAATTCTAGGATTTTCAAGATTCAACAAAATTCCCTGAGAATTCAAGTTTTTCCAGGGAGTATACACTCTGTTATTTTTCTCATCTCTTGAAGAAGAGAATAATAGAAGATAAAAATAAAAAAAAGAAATTGTTTATCTCTCACCTCTCGAAAAAGAATAAATAATAGAACAAATAGTATAGAATATAATAATAAAAGAAAATTATATAAAAAAATAAAATTATAAAATTGTTTACTCTCTTATCTCTCACAAACAAGACAATATAATAAATAAATAGAAGAAAAAAATGGTTTGTTTCTGTCGTCGCTCAAAGAAGAGCGGAATGATGAAAGGAAAAATAATGAACGGAATAATAGTGCAATCTGCGATAAATGGCTGATTTCTGAGACGCTTTATATGCATCCATTCTGTCAACGGCGCTGCAGTTGACTCACCGTTTTGCAGCAAATTGCCCTGTTAGCGAGCGTTTAGGAAAATGCGCTTGAGAAACTTATCGTATCCGTATACAGGGTGTAACTAAACAAAAGTATACGAAGCACATCATTAGATGCAGAACGACAAACTAAATCGAAAAGTTCTGAGCCATTTCTTAATCTGAGCTTTATTTTTGACGCTATAAATTGTTAAAATTGGCCAATTAGCACGTGAAAAATGGCGTAGGTAGCGCCTTAGTAGGCCTTAGTACGCCTATTAAGGCGCCACCTATGCTGTTTTCCGTTGTAGCCACGCGCTAATTGGCCAATTTTAACAATTTATAGCACCAAAACTAAAGCTTAAATTAAAAAATGGCTCAGAACTTTTCGATTTAGTTTGTTGTCCTGCACCTGATAGTGTGCTTCATATACTTTTGCTTAGTTACACCATGTATATATATACTATTGCATTTGCACGCGAACGGCTCTATTTCGCGGTGGAATCATTAACGAGTGTCTCGTAAAAGCGCTTAGTAAGTACCGGGAGATGAAACAGCAGGAAATAAAGTGAGGGGGAGAAAAAAGAGAGAGAGAGAGAGTGCGCGAAAGAGAGAAAGGGAATCGTATTCGCCGGACGTGAAACTCGTTTCTATATGCATATACGCGAGTCGCAGAAATGTTCGGACCACCCTCAAGTTTTCATTCGCAACGTAATTTAAAACGCACATCCGGAAACCATCGATCACGAAATCTTATTACGCGCACTCGCACCGGATATTGAAACGCGCGAGTGTACGCGAAAAGTTCAATCGCGCGTAAAAAACTTCTATTGTCTTCTTGTAATCTTATAGAAAAGACGTGAGATTATTAAAGAATCCATTATCATCGATTGTATGAATTAGGATAAATTTAATATATATTTTTATAAAAGTAAAATAAAACACACATATGTATACCTAATAATAAATATATAAAAATGAATGTTAAATATAAAATAGAAATAAAAAATATAAAATATAAATATATATATATATATATATATATATATTTAATATTATATATATATTTATTTTCTAATATTAGTTCTATATGATATCCTTAGTCTCTCTAGCACAATTATATTATCCGAAACAAAAAAAAATGAAAAGTGAGCGTTTTAAAATTAAACAAGGAGATTGATTCAATTAATTGTTAATAAAAAAAAAGAGAAACTAAACATCGATTATTAATTGAGAAAAAAAGTAATACACCTAGAATAAATTAGTTCCATAAGGATATCCTTAATAGCACGATAGATGTCTACGTTTATTTTCAATTATTTATTATTCGAAACAAAAGATAAAAATGTGAATGTTTTTAAAATTTAACAGGAGAGATTATTTCAATTAATTTTCAAAAATAAAAGAAACTAAACACTGATTATTATTTGAGAATAAAAGAGAGGGGAATAACGGGATAAATTAATTCAAGAACATCCTTATAGTCTCTCTAGACCAATAAATATCTACATCTAGACCAAAAAAATAAATAAAAATATAGTGAGAAAAAATTAAGAGATTGCAGCCAATTAATTTTCAAAATAAAAAAAATTAAATATAATTATTATTTGAGAGAAAGAGAGAAAGAGGGAAAAGAGGACACAGGACGGAGAAAAATAGAGAAAGAAACGCGCAGAATGGTGTTGAAGACCAGTTATCGCATATACACAGAAAAGGAGAGCTTCGCAGAAGCTGCGGTCGACGAAGGCGTAAGCGAAACTCGACATACCTTGCGTATTTCTCGTCGTATGTGCTCTCGCAGCTCGTCGAGACGAGCCGGCAAGGGCACCTGGTCACTGCCAGCCACTCCATACTTGCTCGACAGTTCGTAAAGAACTGGGTACCTGATGTAATCACCCTGAAACAGATTCCAAGTTCGATCCCGCATTATTGGCGGCTCTGATGTATTGCGAGCAGGATTTGGGCAAAGCAACGAGCGATAAGGTCGATTAGTTCGCCGAACGATTAATCACTCTCGAACTAAATCCTTTCTCCGTAATTGAAATGAGATTTTTGCCTTCGTTCTATTTTAAGTATATAAATTAAATTTAGAAAAAATATAGGAAAAAAATTAATATATTTAATATATATTTTTATTTGTATATTTTATATTTATTTTTATATTTTTTACTTTGTTATATTTCATAAAAAATATATATCAAATATTTTTCCCGTATTTATATTTCTATTCTATATTTATATATATTATATTATTAAATATATATTTATTATCTTAATATATTTCTAAACTTAAATAGAACGAAAACAAAAATATTTCTGAAATTTAATTACAGTGAAGATTTAATTAAATATATTATTTAATACATACGTATATATGTATTTTTTTAACTATTAAAAATGTATTAAAAATATATACTAAATATAAATTCAATCCACTTTACTCCTTCATTGTGTTAAGCAAAATTCGTTTCAATTGATAATCGAAATTACATTACATTCGACCATGTAATCTTTCAACATTACATCGGCGTTAATATTCATCATAGCGATGATTTCGTAGGCGACTTCGCGATAGTGTTGAAATATTCGCAGGCGGAAATTGCGTCACCGATCAGAGGTACCGCCTGGAAAACGTCGCGGAATAGACCTCTCCTAACCGGAAATCGTCTGGCGCGACGAACATATGTTCCGCCGTGGCCTACTCAGGAAAGATATACGGATATAGACTCTAGACAAGCAACTAAACACGCGAGAGGGGAAAGTATCGATCTCTCGTGGTCTCTCGCAAACGCGCGAAACAACATCGTCCATTGTGCGAGAATGAAATGTCGATGATGGGTGTCAATTCACGTTACGATTCAATTAATTCGCCCATTGAAATTTATTCAAGGGTATATTCGATTGAGCTTCTATAAACGGAATTTATTTCGAACGCACAATAAGGGAGAGTCCGCGATCAGCATCTCTGAATCTTCCGCGTGGAAATTGTCAGTTGATTCAATTTTCCTATACCTTGTAAAAAATATGTAATATATTACATAAAAATTTGTAAAATTACATAAATAATACACGATTTATCGTACAATAATGAAAATGTGTACATTCTCATTATTTATCGTGCAATTTTACATTTATTATTTAAGTAATTTTTACATATTTTTATGTAATATATATTACATATTTTTACAAGTAGGAATCGGAGTGGAAAATCGGAGGAAAATCGAATCTGCTAATAATTTCTACGCTGAAATTTAGAAAAAGTATAAGAATATTTCTATTTAAGTTTAGAAATATATTAAGAAAAGATTCAGAATGCAATTTTACATTTATTATTTATGTAATATTTTACATATTTTTATGTAATATATTACATATTTTTTGCAGTGTAAGAAAATCGAATCAGCTGACAATTTTTTCACATGATAAATAATAAGTGTAAAATTGCACAATAAATAATAAAAATATATACATTTTCATTATTTATCGTGTAATAATAAGTGTAATCTTACATATGTTTATGTAATATATTACAAATTTTTTATACAGTGTAGGAAAATCGAATCAGCTGACAATTTTTCACACGATAAATAATATAAGTGTAAAATTACACGATAAATAACTAAATTTTACACTTATTTTTTATGTAATTTTACATTGTTTTTACAGTGTAAAGAACGCGTTCCAAAGTCTCTCTGACTCAAAATTTGACATTTCTGAAAACGTACCGCGACGCAAATCCGGAAGTATCTCGAACTGGCCTTGGTGAATGAGATACATCTGCACGCGCCCGATTTCTTCTCCAATTTCTTATCTACGCTGATAAATGACATTCTTGCATTCTCCAATAAAAACAGCCTTCGCTTTACCCCAAACGAAATGTCCGATATAGATATCTCTATCTATTGACGCGATAGCTCGAAATATATCACAGAGAGATTATACGCCCTGTAAAAATAGTCGTCTCATTAATAACATATTATTAAAACACACGTATTTATGAATAATTAAAAGAAAGAAACCAGCTTTTGTGTCGCGATTAATCCATCGCTGAATCAAATACTGTTAATTCACTACTATATAAGCGATAATCTCGAAGTTACCACCGCGCGAGCAGGATAAAACGTTGCGACCACCTGTTGCAGAGAAAATCTATGCGATATCGCGTATTTTGCGCTATCGCTATCGCATTCGAGGCCTAATATAGACGTAAGAGAGCGGCGCTCTTTTACGCGGGCAGCGCGATGTCGAATTTGAGAATTCGAACTGACTGAAAAAGAAGAAGACACACAGTGCCAACGCGCGCCGTTATCTCTTATCAGCCGCGCCGATAAGAGCCGATACCCGACTGCAAAAACCTGCACGAACTTATCGGGACTTCACTGTGCTTATATAAAGAGGGGAGCCGAGGTACTTAAGAAAACAACGATTAATTTCCTCAACTAACGTGTAGCTTGATGCAATCACGTTTAACTTGTATGCCATAAGATTTGTACACTTAAGTAAATAAGCACGTACGTTAAACCTTATTTGTAAATTTTCGTAGTTTTTTATTTTATTTTCATTGGCTACTTTCACGATCTTGATAAATTTTATTTATCTCCCGAAAAATGGGCGAATTTGTATCTTAAATTAATATATAAAATAGAAATATATTTGTAACAAAAAAAATTTATTATATACATAAAATTGTATATTGTTTATTACACAAATACATATTTTATATGTATATTTTATTTACTAATATGTTTTATATATATTTTATATATTATGTATGTAATGTTATTTATATTTTAAATGCATATTTTAATATATAAAAAATATATTTTTTAATATATATATATATTTTACAAATTTATATTAAACTTATATATAAAATATATAAGAAAAAATTAAAATACGTATTTATATAAAAATAAATAATACTTAAGTACAAATGAATTAAAATATTTTTAATAAATTTAATTTGTGAATATTAAACAGTTGAATTATTATGTAACAGCACGTGGCTACATTACGTTTATTGAAATTGCACGACCATGTCAAGAATTAATTGCGACATCTCATTTTACAACTCGACTCGAAGTTGTAATAATTTGTAGGTACAAATTACAGATCGCCTGAGAGAGATAGAAAATGACGTCCAACCGTCTTCGCGAGAAGAGAACAAAAGTACATGAATTTTGGAGAGCTGTGAAACTCTCTCGCGATGCTAAACACACTGACGCACGATCTATTTTTATATATACGTTCTACAATATTTGTGCCATGCACAATAATCCCGGGAGGTCAACAGACGTCGCGACGTCATAGAAACTTCCCTTTTCCCCAGCGATTCGAGCGCGTTTTTGCTTTTGGTAGCTTGAGCAATATAAACGAGCAACGTGTCTCTGACTCACGCGAGCAAGAGCAAGCTCTGCTCCGAGATGGAGAATTGTTTTTGCTGATGCAAACCTCCCAGGCGAACCATTACGTGTGTTGAGCGCAACGTCAAATTTAGAAAACATCTCTAACATCTGCGACAGCATATATTGAATTATCGATCCATTAATGATCCATTACAACTGCATTACGAGAAAAAAACATTTAATCTGACAGGTATATAAATGACTTCGCCTGCATCGCAAAATCAACACAATGTTTTTCATAAAAATAATAATAATAATAATAAATGCGACCGAAAAAAATTATTACATCCGTGATATTCTTGAGTCTTTTTGATATATTAATATAATCCATTACAACTGCATTACAAAAAATTATTTTAATCTGACAAGTTTATAAATACGACTGCGAAATTTGCATGCATCGAAAAATAAACACATAATGCTTTTTGTTTAAAAAAAATTTTTTTTAACATGATTTATTATTCGATATTCTTACGCCTTTTCGATTATTAATAATAATCAACCCATTTCGATAAACTTTATTAAAATTGCATTACAAGAAAAACCATTTTAATCTGATATATGTATATAAATATAGTTGCGAAATTCGCCTACATCGCAAAATATACGTGAAAATCACGTTTTTTGTTTGAAACAAATTTTTTTTTAACACGACTGAAATTATTACCCGATATTCTTACGTCTTTTCGATTATTAATAATAATAATCGATCCATTTCGATATATTAATGATGCATTACAAGAAATTGCATTTAAAAAAACAATTTAATCCGGAACATACAAATATACTTATTGTTAGCTGCGAAATTCGCCTACATCGCTAAATAAATGCGTGAGAATCATGTTTTTGTTTAAAAAAAATTTTTAAACTTGAAAAAATTATTACATTTTCTTGCGTCTTTTCAATATATTAATGATTATTTCGATATATTAATAATCCATTACAACTGCATTATGAGAAAGAACATTTTAATGTGACATTTTAATCTTATATAAATAACTGCGAAATTCACCTATATTGGAAAATTAACACGCGAGAATGATTATTTTGTTTAAACAAAAATTTTAATAACGACTAAAATTATTATATCCGCGATATTTTCTTGCAATATATTCGACAATTTTCATCAACATTGTTTTCCGCAGAATTTGAAAGAGCGAATAATCTGACATCAGATACCCAATTTTTAATCGAAAATGAAACTCGCTTTTCTAAACGTGAAAGTTTTAGAAGACGAAAAAAATTGAAAAGCTACACAATACCAGGATACCTACAAGTCTTGTAAAAATTATCTAAGAATTCCCTGATCTTTTAAATATTTTTATTTCCAGATAAGATAAGAAAATGTGTACAATGTAGTATATTTATAGATGCCAGCTTTTTAAAATAAATTTTTTTATGGTAAGCGCTTTCTAATATTTTCTACTCATACAATTACAGAAAACGATTATTAATTTGATCAATCAATGGATTAATTACAACCATTTGCAATATAAGAATAAAATTAATACACAATTTTTGAAAAAATTCCCCGAGTCTCAAGAAAATTCTCGAAATCTTTTAAGCAAAAATTCCTATTTTCAATTTTCTGATTATTTTCAGAAGACTCCCTGAATAAAAATTATTAAACCCGCGATATTTCCAACATTGTTTCTCGCAAAAAAAATTGGAAAGAGCGAATAATCCGATATCCAATCAACGCCGAATTCTGAATCGAAAATGAAACTCGCGGTAATAAAAAAAAAAAAACGTGAAAGTTAAAGTTTCGGGAGACGAGGATAGAATACCGAATTCACGCGAATTCTCTCGGTTCTCCGAATTTTCTAGACCCGCCGTAACAATTGCCCAATCCCGCGCGAATAATCTCGACGATCCTCTCACAATCGGACGTGTACCCCGTCCTCGGTCTCGTCGGTAAATAACGCTCGCAGGTGTTATAATACCGGAGGCCGATCGGCACGAAAAAGTCAGAATCGGGACTCTCGGTTGCACCAGACAACCTGGCCTAACTTTACCTTCTCCTTCTCTCGGCGAGTCGAGTGAAACGATAAGTTGGGAGTGAAATCGGTATCGTTTCGACGAGATAAAAAAAAACACCGAACATTTATTCGAACAATGATTCAAGATTAATTAATGGAGATTATTAAAAGAAATTAAGCGTAATTAATTTTTCTTCGAATCCAAATTCACTGTAAATTATAAGTGTAATCTATCTCTAAAGAGAAAGAGGTAATCGACAAACCGCGAAGAGCACAAAGTCAATTAAGCCAAGTAGCCTGTATATAACTAGGTGCTGGTTACATCAACGAAGAGGGAAGGGGAAGGATTAATCATCTTCGAGTAAACTAAAAATTTCCTTTCCATTTCAAGCAACGATAATTTGAAAAAGAAGTCAATTAACCGGCGTACGAGGCGGGCCCCCTTTCGAGGGGGGCAAAGGGGAGAGTAAGAAATCGGATGGATATATCAGGTGTGCGCGATCCGTCACGCTTGGTATCTCGATCGAGAGGCACGAAAACAGATTTCCCGTCATCGTGACGAGGGAAAGCCTGCGAGAGATCCTTGCCCCCCCCCTCTGCCCCCCTCTCCTCCTCCCCGCTCCAGGTGCCATCGTACAAGTGCATTTACGTCGCGAACGAGAAAGAGAACCCCCTTTTTTTAATTTTTTTTTTCAAAGATCCTGCGGACCCCCTGCGCCCCCTCACTCCCTCGCTTGCTCCAAGTGCCATCGTACAAGTGCATGTACGTCGCGAACGAGAAAGAAAACCCCCTTTTTTTTTAATTTTTTTTTCAGAGATCCTGCGGACCCCCTGCGCCCCCTCACCCCCTCGCTTGCTCCAAGTACCATCGTACAAGTGCATGTACGTCGCGAACGAGAAAGAGAACCCCCTTTTTTTAATTTTTTTTTCAAAGATCCTGCGGACCCCCCTGCGCCCCCTCACCCCCTCGCTTGCTCCAAGTGCCATCGTACAAGTGCATGTACGTCGCGAACGAGAAAGAGAACCCCCTTTTTTTTTAATTTTTTTTTCAAAGATCCTGCGGACCCCCCTGCGCCCCCTCACCCCCTCGCTTGCTCCAAGTGCCATCGTACAAGTGCATGTACGTCGCAAACGAGAAAGAGAACCCCCTTTTTTAAATTTTTTTTCAAAGATTCTGCGGACCCCCCTGCGCCCCCTCACCCCCTCGCTTGCTCCAAGTGCCATCGTGCAAGTGCATGTGCGTCGCGAGCGAGAAAGAAAACCTTATTTCAATTTTTTTTTTTTAATGATTCTGCAGATCCCCCTCCTGTCCCCTCTCTTCCTCGCCCGCTCCAGGTGCTATCGCACAAGTGCATGTGCGTCGCGAGCGAGAAAGAGAGAACCCCCTATTTTTAAATTATTTTTTCCAAGATTCTGCGGACTCTCGCCGGAAAAAGTGACATCCTAGATAAGGGGGGTACTGTATCTCGAAGGAACACGGTTACGTCGGAATTTCGTGAAAAAGGGTACGCGAAGAGCGAGACTCACCTGATAATAGCTCGATTCCGCCATCTTGCTCCCGCACTTCTCTGTATGCTCTCTCGTACAACACTCGCTCTCGTCTCTCACACGTCGCTCCCCGACCGCTTTCGTCCTTTGTGCGCGTCGCCGAGAACCGTCGTTAGGTGATGGTCCATGATGCAATTTCGACACTTCGTGGCCCGGATCTTACACTGTATCCCTCGCGCTACGTGCGTCGCCGCATTTTATTTTATTTTTTTTTTTCGCGTCTGTCTCTCCGTTTCGCGTCCGACAACGACGGTGCCGTGACGTGACGTGACGCGCGGCGTCGTCAACGAGAGGAGCCTCTTTCTCGTTCTCTCCTCTTCGGAAGTGCGATGACCCGAGAACTTGAAAACTGTCGTTGCAACGTCGTTAACCGACGAGGATGATGAGGCTGCGCGCACCACTACAAATTACACAGGCGGATGAATGGAAAGCCGCGCGAACAAAATGCGAACACGACCACATTCCACCGCACCGGACTGGCGACTGACTGAGAACGCCGGGCCAATCGCCGCACAAGGCGCCGTCGCGACCGCCGCGTCCCGCACGGCCAATCAGCGCTCGACGCTCGCGCTCCGGAGTCGCGCGCCAATCGCGAGCGTTGGCGGCAAATTTGATTGTCATATTCAAGCTTTTAGGGATAAAAAGACATTTTGCAAATGAACATTAATAATTTGTTATTTATAATATAGATACTTATATATTATATAAATTATTTGTAATTATACATAATTATTAGTACAATAATTAATTATTACTTATTTAAATTTTACTTATCTTAGAATATATATTATTAATTTAAGATACATATATATTATTAGTTTAAGAAATATATTTCTAATTATATTTTATTAATTTAATTAAAAATATATATAGTATATAATTTAATATATAGTTAATATTATAATACTATAATTTATATTTAATTTTGTTTTTATACTTTATAAAACAATATATCAATAACTAGTAAAATAATTGATATTGTTTTATAAAATATAAAAACAAAATTATAAATATAAATTCTTGTTATATAATATAAATTATATATATGCATTTGTAATTAAATTAATAAAATTTAATTAGAAATATATTTCTTAAAAATATACAAATAAAAAATTTCTTAAAATCAAATTTCTCATAAAATCAAATTCATTTCATAAAATTTTTAAAAATAAACGACTATACGTTTATTTCATAGAAATATCGTAATATTGAAAATGCTGTATTTTAAAGATATATAAATATGAAAATTTTAAATAAAATTTAATTAAAAATATAATTGTATTACAGGAATGTTGTTAAAAATGCTGCAATTTGAAGACATATAAAGATGAAAGTATATAACTAAATTTAATTAAAAATATATAACTCTGTAAAAATATAATTGTGTTGCAGGAACATCGTTGCAAATGCTGCAATTTAAAGATATATCAACAAATTTTGCATTTAATATAATATAAAGGATCGCTTTTTAATGTGATTTATTATCTAATTGTATACATATAGTATGTTTATATATTTAGAGATTTATACAAAATATATATAGGGGATATATATATATATATATATATATATATATATATATATATATATATACATATAAATATATATGTATATACAATTATTGAGAAATTAATGTCTGAAGAAGTTCTTCGGGCGTTCTGGAAAAGAGGCTGCTAGGATTTTGATACAAATTTTTCGGATTATGACATGATTCGTACAATTGCTTGTATATAGCTCCGATTACTTCGAACGACCGTTTCTGAGTGATCATGCGATGATTGTTGCTTTGTAACAAACTTATTTGTGGCAATAATAAGACATCTGGCATCACAAGAAATGCCTCTAATTTATTCTGCGAAAGGAATCAATATATTAATGCCTGGAAACAATTGCATGTTACTCGACAAATTGAATCACACTTACAGTGAATTCTTTCACGCTGAGGGCATCCATGCCAGGTATGGATGAGAGTGGTCCCTGCTCGCGTCCTTGCAGAATAGTGTAAATCGAACCAAGATTCAAATGTGCTACCAAAGAACTAGCTTGTTCCGATGTAAGTGTGTCGATTTGAGCATCTGATTGTGCCTGAAATCGTATTACGTCAGTAATAGCCAAAACTTACAAGCAACTTACAAACAATGGATTTAATCTCGATAACACGTTTCACAATTACAGTGTTCTATAGAAAATTGCTAAAATTAATCAGTCATCATTTTTTAATGCATGCAGTTATTGCGAAAACAAAGATTGTGTTGTAAAGAGGAAAATCTGCAATTTTTAATGGATATAAATAAAATGTACACTAGTTTATTTTATTGAAAAAAAGTAATGAAAAAAGTGCTAATACACACATGTAAACTAATGATAAATATTTTCGAAGTGCGCATCATTTGAATTTGTACAAAATTCTGTTCTTTTACGAAAACTCATAAAAACTTTTTCTAACAATTCATTTTTAATGTTATTGACGATCCTTTTAATATCTGCTATTAAATCTAGCACTGTTGAAAATATTTATCATTAGTTTATGTAATTTTATCTTATTTTATGTGATTATTAGCACTTTTTTCATTACTTTTTGTCAATAAAATAAACTAGTATACAAACATTTTATTTATATCCATTAAAAACTGTAGACTTTCCTTTTTCGAACACAATTTTTGTTTTCTCAATAACTGCATGCATTAAAAAATGACAGTTAATTAATTTCAGTAATTTCCTATGCGACACCTTCTATATCTAATTCTATCTTTTAGATAAAAACTAACCAATCACCTGTAACCTTTCTAATCTCTGATCCATGTATTCGTACAATGCTAGGGTCGATTGTATCTGATGCATACAATTGAGAAGATAAACAGCCATATCCACAGTTGGTAATCTGGAGGCTGTTTCATTAACTTCTTGAAGTAGTGGATCAATGATACACGACACAATCTGTCAATCATATGGAAAATAATCTGTAATAAATGTTGAAATAGAGAGAAAAGTATGTGCTGAACATTCATACCTGTAACATGTCCCTTTCCCTGTCTTCAGCTATGCTAGCGACGGACAGTATTTCATTTAGAAGCGACAACAGTCTAGAAACAGATGGAGCAGGGACTAAATCACTTCCGGGAGGCTCCGCGCGCTCTCCAAGAGCGATCCTCGTTTCTCTTTGCAATCTGCTCAAAAAGCTCTTCTCGCTCAAGCTCAATAAATCTAACAGTGTTTGATCTAAAACACTATCAGGTATGACCTGCTCGATGATGGCGCGATAAAATCTAATTAAAGTTGTTACTGAGTACAGTACTGTTGCTGGTGCCTCTGTAGATATAACATGCTCTATTCTCGATTTTAAGGGATGGCACAGTCCTTCCGTGATGTTGCTCAATGCTTGTTTCACCTGATCCGACACATCTGCAATGAATTCATTTCCATATTTAACAATGTTTAACTTGAGAAGAAATAATTTATAATTAATATATTTAAAATATATCTTTAAAATTATTATAATTAATATACTTAATATATTTAATATATCTTTATAATTAATAAAATTAATATATTTAATATATAATTAATATATCTTACCTGTCTTATCACAGCCTTTCATCAAGGTAAGAATGTTTTCTTTCTCCACAGGAATTACTTGATGCAACCATGCAAGCATATCACCGATATATCTCTTGGGATCATTAGCATGCATCTCTATAGGATTAGGTGTTCCACCACCCTCCCCCAATGTTAAAGCATCTATAAAAGCTCCTACTAAGGCGGTTCTTCTAGTTGCACAATATTCATCCAGAATATATCTGAAAATACCCAATATATCAATTTTGTTTGCAATTAATATAACATACATATAATACTTGTACTCAAATATTAATCATCTTACTTGAATAATACTGGTCTATCTTGAAGTTTACTCATAGCTTTAATGAGTAATGGTGCCAAACATTCGTTTTCTATATTTTTGCAATGAGTTTGTGTCCATCGATACAATCTTTCGAGAGCAGCTTCTTGCAGTAGTGTCATTCTTTGCATTATATCCAGAGCCAATGTCTGATAGCCAGATTGCATAAGCACTCTGCATTTGCTATGAATATCCTGGGATCGAATAAAATTAAAGTGCCAAAAATAATCATCACCTTTAAAATTAAATAACATTCGATGCATTTACCTGGACTTTATTAATTATAGAAAAAAATTCTTCTGTTATGGGTGCCTCTCTAGCTGATCCATGCAAAACGCTCAATTCTGATGGGGTCAATTGGAAGTTTTTTATAAATGCGCTCGCAACTTCCTGCTGTATAGACAACACTTGACTGGAAATAAAATCCAACAATAAATATTTATGACATGGCAACCATTATCATTAAATATTGCTTAGACATAGGTGTCCTATAGAAAATTGCTGAAACTAATCAGATGTCATTTTTTATTGCAGTTATTGAGAAAAAAAAATTGTGTTGGAAAGAAGAAAGTCTACAGTTTTTGATGGATATAAATAAAATGTTTGTATACTAGTTTATTTTATTGACAAAAAATAATTAAAAAAGTGCTAATAATCACATAAAATCACATAAAATTACATAAACTAATGTAAAATATTTTCAACAGTGCCAGATTTAATAGCAACTATTAAAAGGATCATCAATAACATTAAAAATGGCATGTTAGAAAAAGTTTTTACGAGTTTTCGTAAAAGAACAGAATTTTGTACAAATTCAAATAATGCGCACTTCGAAAATATTTATCATTAGCTTACATATGCGATTATTAGCACTTTTTTCAATAAAATAAACTAGTATACAAACATATTATTTATATCCATTAAAAATTGCAGACTTTCAAAAAATTATAATAAAGAATTATAATTTTTTTCTTATAATAACTGCGTGTATTAAAAAATGAAAGCTGATTAGTTTCCACAATTTCCTATGGGACACCCTGTACAAATGCTTTTGCACCTTTCGTTTTGAAGCTTTGTCGTTTGTTCTATAAGCTGTGATGTTTGTGTTTTTGTAACTTGCAAGCGATTAGTCATGGACTGCACAGCTGTATTCATCGCTAGAACATCTTGATAAATGTCATCCAAGGAAGCCTTCACCTCTTTAAAGGCAGTCAGGAATTCTTCATTTATCGCCAGACTCCTTCTCTCAATCTTACTGCGCAAATTTCGACGAGAGTTCAATGTGTTCTCGGTAAAAAATGTTGACAGTTCTTTCAAGGCTTCTAACGTGTCCTAAAATATTTTATAATTAAAATTGTGACATTTCTCCCTCTACATCACAAGCAGTCATTTAATGCTTAAAAATCCATCTAATCCTTCTTATCTAATCAATTAATGCTTAAAAACTGTTTACAAAATGGGATTTATAAATAATCACGAACTTATCATTGTTATCACAAAGTTTTTACCTTATCGTGCTCCACCCTGGATTCCAGCAATTTATTGACTCTCCGCACTAAAGCGGAATTAATATTTTTCTCGCTCATCACGAAAATTCAGACTTTTCAAGTCTCATCGGCGAATACATATAACCTACATACAAATGTCAAATGGAGAACCGTGACAGTTCAAGTGGTACACGCACAGATAAATGTATTATAGCAGCGATCCACTTGATGCTACAAATGCTTCGAAGCATTCTTTCTTTTCTTCTCATTGAAAGAAAAGAGAAGAAAAACACTGCGGAGCATTTATAGCGTCAAGTGGATCACAGCCTCAGCGTTTTCTCACGTAGAATTGATTTTTTTATTTAACACGAGACTTTGCTCTCTCTTTTTCTCTAACAAAAAATATGCTATTTTGACTGAAATTTAGAGACAAATATATTTTGTAAAGTGTTCACTTTGTCAGGGGGCGTACTAGTACACGCGGCCGCTGAATCCCGGTGGCCGCTCTCTTGTTTCTCTCTGCCTCTGATATAACTCACAACGCAAATCGAGACAGCCAATCGCCATCCACATATGACGTATACAGTCTCTTTCAAAATTGTGTATTTTTTTGACAGCGACGTAGATAAAATAAAAAAATAAATAAAAAATGTTTTTAACAATATATACGCAATTAATTCTATTTACCAAATTAAATACATAATAATCATATTTTCCACAGCTATTGACAGCTGACTTGAGTTGACGCGCGCACGCGCACGTGCGAGCTGTCAAAATCGAGGATTACGTGTGTTTCGCTTATAAACGACGCAAAATCGAATTGTTTGAAATTGGATAGAAAAATACAAATTTATATAAATCTGACAGAAATTCGACGAAAAATTGAATTATTTTTGTAGAATAATCAAGTGGCCGATAAATAATGTTGATATTCTCGATTCGATAGATTACGAGGAGAGAAAGAGAGAAAGGAGAAACAGAAAGAAAGAGAGAGAGAGAGAGAGGAGAGAGAGAGAGAGAGAGAAAGAATAGATACCGAAACACCATATTCGATGCGTTTAGTTGCATTTAGTTGTCGCGTGGACGAGTACTATTGTTTATTTTCTTCGATGAATTAGGATAAACATGCGCTGGCTAATTCGTCTGTGTACCCTTGCGATTTTGCTGGTGCACAGCATAGATGTGAATAGCGAGGAGGTGCCATTAACCAAATTCGGCGCAAAGACTGGGCCGACCTTAAGATTCTTCTACTGGTAAGATTAACGATCCGTTTATTGATTTTCATTTAATAAACACGATAACGTGCATTTTAGAGACGTTCGTTTGTTCTATAAGATAATGGATATGTTTGCAACAATCTAACAAGATACTTGTTGAACTGCGTACCATTCTAAGTGATCTAAAGTGATCACTAATCTATATTTATTAATTTAATTCTTTTTAATAATTAATTAATTAATAATTGTTTACAGCTACTCGTGTGGCTACAGAAAAGCCTTTGAGCAATATGTCAGTATTCTTAAGCAAAAGTATCCAGAACTTCATGTCGAGGGAGAGAACTTCACTCCGCCAGGTTATAAAATGATGATTGCAAAAGCACTGGTAATTAAATTCATTGTTTTTATATATATAAAACCATGTATACTTTTATACACATTTAATTTTTTATTTGCATTTCAGGGAATGCTGAAAATTTTGGTAATTGTTTTAATCATAAGTGGACTTGACTTCGGTCTGCCTCAAACATCACTATGGCAGTGGTGTATGAGCAATCGTTTTTATTCCTGTGTACTGATTTTCCTGCTCTGCAACGCGATAGAAGGTCAACTGATTTCGTCAGGCGCATTTGAAATACATTTTAACGGTAAGCAGGCGCAAATTGCATTTGTTTGTACGATTCTTAGATTGAATATTTATTGCATATCACTATATATTTCAGATGTTCCTGTCTGGTCGAAACTTGAAACCGGCAGGATACCTCAGCCACTGGAATTGTTTCAAATAATTGATTTCCATTTAGACATGCAGTTTTCAGAAATGGATATCGGAAAGATCAAATTTCAAACATAAGACGTAATTTTATTTTGTATTAAAAAATTAATGTAATTATATACCATGCCACTGGAAGTTTGCTAATGTGATGAAAATATGTACAATATATTTGCTAAGTAAGTAAACTCTTTAATGTACACATCTCTTATCATAGATAGAATACATTCATTATAGAATAATTCCAATAAGAGGAGTATGAAAATATATAAATGTAATTGAAATAAAACTGTTACCAAAATTTCTTATTACAGGCTTTTGATTAAAAGATTCCACAATTACATTGACGTTACAAAAATGCCCACAGCAGTTTATATATATACATTATTTCTCATAACAGCATCCTTTCAATATCGGTCATTTCCCATATTTAAGAGCATTATTTCAGAAATATGTCATTTTAGTTGAGATATTATTTAATTGCCCTACTGATTTCATTGAAATCTGTTGGATGATCGCTGCTTAAGGGACGTGCTTCATATGTACAAATAGTGACACCATGTCTGTGCGCTGGTGTCCATTCTCCTCTTAGACCAATATAGGAGATTTCAATATGTTCCATGTTACTATCGCCGACAAAATAAAGACTTAGATGCTGTACCGATGAAAACTTTACAGTTCTATAACAGAATTTAAGATTTCTAAATCTTGTATAGAGTTTTAATATCTCATAAATATTTTATGTGTAATTATAGTTGTAAAAATGTTATAAATCTAACAGATATAAGTAAAATGAGCAGGTATACCTCACAGGATATTCATGTACTCCATACAAATCTGTGATTAACTCAAATTCTTGTTCTGGACTAATATTTACATCTTCAAACGTCATGTGCGGTCGATTTTTGAATCTATTGATATACATGAGTAAAATGCATCAATTTTTACTTCTTGAATATCTATATAAATATTGTTTTTGTCAATTTATACTTACAGTTTTACTGTTTTGGGCGAAAACTCCTCCTGTGCAATTATAATAAGTCCTTTTAATTTTACATCCCCTGTGAAACTGCAAAAATATCAAGATGCTATATACAAAACTGTCTTTTAATATAAAAATTTGAGTATACTAATATAAATAGGTGAACCTACGGTATATTAAACAGGAGCTCAGCATCAACGTCACTTTCTACAAACTAAAATAAATAAAAAGAATGAAAAGAGGAAAAAAAACATTACTATAAAGTTTTAGAAGAAACATTAAAAGATGTATTTGAAATTTGCTAAAAGATAAAATATACTTATCGAGAATACCTTTGTTCTATCTAATCTCTCTTCCCAAGTTTTAAAGACTTTAACACCACTACCTTCCTCATTTTCGTTTAGGCATTCCACTCGATCCTTATCTATTTTTTCATATAAAGTATAACTGACACCTAATTCTATCGCATCATGTGCACTGCCACAATTGCATTGGTGTTCCATTGTCTGTAAATTCTATCAAGGAAATAAAAAATAAGATTATATAATAAAAAAATAATTTTTTCCTTCAAATTATATATATACTAAAATAAAAACTTGATTAAATTCAAATTAGATCACATATATAATTATATAAATAAATACTATCTTGCAATATATATAAATGTTTTCACTAATATATGTATATTTATACTACACATAGTTTTTATTATAAATATAAATCCTGCACATGCAAACAATGACATATTTATTTTAAAAAAATTACAAATAAGTAATTTTTGTTCTCTTATTATATATTAAAGTAATAATTTAAAATATTTCGTTGCCAACGAAGATGACTGTCAATCTTTAAAATATTTGTCACGTACATACCTTTATTTGGGAAATGTTTACAAGATATTATATATGCGGCTGCGACAGGTTAAGTTCACGTGACAATCGTTTTAACAATGTAATAATTGCAACAAAGTGAGATGAGATATTTTACATATGAAAGATATGATATTCCCCAGCAATTAAAAGTCACAAAGATATAAGGAAATGTGAAATCTGTCCCGAAGGATTATTTACATACATTGAAGATTGAAGCTCTCCCTCCTCTTTTTGACTTAATGTATCTGTCGGTAAACAGAATTTCCTTTGTTATATCGGAGATCAACGTATATATACATTTCATTTTATGTTGCAATACAATTATTATGATTACTCTTCTATTCGATTAAAGATTTTATAATTTATAAAATTTTAAAAATTGCATTTTTATATTAATCTTATATCATCTTCATAAGTATTTTTATAGATAAAAAATATAAAATTATTGAATATAAATAATTCAGCAACAGCTCTGTTAAAATATCGTCGTTATAAAGTTTTAAAGCAAGAAATGACAGGTAAAAGTAAAACTTCAGAATTGAAAAACACGTGATATTCATTTATAAATTCTATAGCGTATGTACATTTGTTACTTTGCATACGGTGAATGAAATACAGATAGAGAGTGCAACGTAACATATAAATAAAACAATCTTTGTATGACTTGTGTATGGAATGGTTGCATAGTCTTGTTTCTATTTATGCTTGTCGACAGCCTCGTCGATAATTTTATTAAGTTTCTGATTTTGCCAATCAAGGGCGATATTATCGAGATGGTTGTCGAAGTCAACTAGATTCCTGTACTCCTCTGCCTTGAGTAACGAATACATCGCATCTGTGTGTGCAACACCTCCCTCATAAATTATACTGTAACAGAATAAACGTGACATTTTAATGTTTGAATAAAATGTAAGAGCTTTCGAAAATTAAAATAATATTAAAAATGTACAAATTACTTTGCTTTATCCTTCGGCTTCCATTTTCCATCTACCAACTGCGAAATTCTCAATGGACTAGATCCCATGCCTAGAGTCACTTCTCGATTATCCACCTGGTAAAAAGCAACAAGATTTGTACACACAGAAATGTAAAACATATTGATGTAAGAAACTTGTAGCAAACGTACCACTATGAGCAACGCGCTATTAAAGCTATCCGCGATTTTATCCGCTATTCTGTGAGCTGGTCTGTCCGTACTACGGGAAAAACAGAGAAATGAATAAGTTGTAGACTACTAATGCAGTTAGGCTCAAGTAAAATATTAAGGTACCTTAAATCATTTATATTCTCATTGGCCAGGTAATAACCTGCCAGAATAAGGCCTTTGCTGGCAGCTAACTGGTCCACCTGCAATTAAGCATCATTGAATAAGACGTCAGATAATATTTCTTTAACAGAGCTACTGCTAAATTATTTATATTCAATAATTTTATATCTTGTATTGTATATTATTTACTTTATATTTATTTTGTTCATAAAATTTTGTAAAAAATATATATAATATATATTTTTTTCTACAAAATTTCATGAATAATAATTAATGCTTTTATTCTAACATTAAGAACAAAAGACTTTAAATAAAAAGAAAAATAAATAAATTGCTCTCTTACGACAGCTCATCATTGTGATATAGGTTAGGACATTAATACGTCCACGTTCACGTCACATATCGATTATGTCACCGTTTGAGGAATGTGCTTCAAATGACGAATCGTAAAATTTTACGAAAGTCATGATTGCGATAATGAAGGCTCGTAAAATATTTACCAAAGTAAGCGCTATTTCCGCCATTGGGGAAACATGTAGGCATATATGGAATAAAGGTATCGCGTCCTCGATGTACAGATCCGCCCTGCCGTCCTTACTCTTCTGTTTGCCAAGCAACAAGCCATTGATCGCGCAATGCGGATATTTGGTTGCATGCAAAATGATCTTACAATACGCGCGGGGCGAAAAGAAAACATTCGTCATCGTCGAGGATGCACTGTAAACGCGAGCGGACGCGAGGAGACAACAGTGGGGCCAACATTCTGACAGCTGTCAGTTGTCAGATTGGCGAACACGTGACAGAACACGTGACTGCTCTTTCTCGATAGCGGGACTTTTGGATGCACTTATATTTGCAGTTATACGTATATATTTGTCTGATCAGATCTTGGCCTTTCATAATTATTTGAAATGGAAATGTAAAATATATAATACCTATTTTGTATCTTGCATTTAAAATTCATGTTTTCATAAACTACTTCACATTTACATTTATAAATATGGTAGTTTTTATTATATACTTTTTATTTCAAGTGCATTTTTCTTGCATATTTGATTGTTATATATATATATATATATATATATATATATATATATTTTTTTTTTAAACTCTTTAAACTTTTATAAACTTTATATATATTTTTAATATAAACAAAAAAAAATACACAAATATTATTTATATGTAGAATATTACAAAAAAATGTTTATTATTGTTCACAAACATTTAATGACTTTTTTAATAACATTTTTGTTATATATATATATATATATATATATATATATATATATATGATAAAAATTTAATAAAGAAATAAGGATTTAAATAGATAAGTAATAATAATAATTGTAAGAAGTAAATAATAAAAAATAAGAATACGAGATAGTGTGACTTTTAATGTATAATAATCAAAATAAAATAAAAAAATTAAACAAATAAAATAAACAACTAAATAATAAATAAATAATAAATAAAATTTGTCCATCAAAGTGCAAAATGTGATCGACCAATCAGAGACCGAGAATCTCTGCGTTCCGATTGGTCACTCCTGCGCTTCGCCCTAGACAGACATATTTTCGAACACAATCAGAATGCATACTGCCATCTAGTAGGACTTTCGACTTGTTCGTGTTTAACATTCCCGCGTTGTACATCGTCGCTTCGCGAAAGTACGAGCGTGAGTATTAATGAATGTCTTTACGCCGTTAATTATCCTATAAATCCGATCGTGATCGTTCCTTGCGTCTTTCGCGTTCTTCGCATTCCTCGCGTCCTTCGTGTGACACACAGTAACGTCAGTGCGAGCCAAGAGTTCGCTCTCGTGCATTAACTACGATTAATCGCGAGAATCACCGGCTGCGCTTTCGACGCGAAATTTTCGGAGTTTTTTTGACGCTGTCGAGCGTGCTTTAAGCGGGTAATGGCGCGTTTCCGGTCGTACTTCCGTATCATCGTGTTCAATCCAATCGTTACGCGACGAAGTAAACTCATAATTAATTCTCGTAAAAATTGCATCAATAACGATAACAATCGCGTCGCCATTTTGTCGTATTTTTTTGCCGGTTTTATTCGCGCTCGAATAAGCTCTCGCGATTCTCGCGTTTTATTGAAACGCGTCGAAAATGTGACAGCTAAAATCCGGGCGACGCCGCGTATCGCGAACGAAAAAAAGTAACGCGAGTGCAAGTGTTTCGAGTGAGTGCCATGAAGGATTTAGGAGATTGGAGGCCCGGGGAGGCATCGGGCAACGGCGGAGCAACGATAGGGTAAATATAATTTTTATAATTTATTTTTTTCTTATTTTTTATTGGTTATTTTTGTGAGATTATTCGTTTATCTTCCATATTTTATATTGTTGCATAATATAATGATTATGTAAGTAAAATGTCCTAGATTTTATACTGTGAAGTACTTAGAACGTTTAATAACAAATATAATAATTTTATAATAATAAATATGTGTGAAATACGATTTTAACATATTGTATATTATATTTGAGACATACGCGTAGATATATAATTATTTATTTAATAGGTAACTAGATTCTTTTACTATTAAATATTTTAATAAAAATATTTAATAGCAAAAGAATATTTTAATAAAAATATTTAATAGTAAAAATGAATTAAATAGTAAACTATTTTAATTTAAATATTTTTATTTCTATTTTTCTTTAAAAAAATATTTTTTTGTTAATTATATAGTTTTTTAATATTTTATTAAAGTACGAATGAAAAAGCTATAACTATGCGCATACATAATCATTTTTGAAATATTAAAATTAATATTTAAATGTTCAAATTAATTTTAATATTTCAAAAAAAATAATTTAAATATTTTGATAATTGTTAAAAAAATATTTGTGTGCTTTTATTTTACAGATCAACATTGTCCAACTGCATCAAATTGGTGAGTGGTAAAGTATTTAAAAAAATTTTAAGATAATGATTTTAACATATATAAAGATAACAGTCTTAGGAAAAAACCTCTTTTCTTTAACAATTATCATATAATTTGCAATAAATAGATGCATTGGTAAATTTTTTATTTTTATACTTTATTACACATTAAAAGAATTGAAGTTTTATTAATCAGAATAATATTATACATAAATATTATATGATATCAATACAAATTCATTATCTTCAAATGAATAAATTAAGATTATTGTATATATGTGTTTAATTTTTAAATGTGTATTATAATAAAGATTTTTTTCAATATGCATGTTATAAACATAAATAAAAATAAAAATGTTTAATAGTTGTTTTATAATACATTTCAATTAATTTAATAAAATGCGCGTTAATGATTAAATTATATCTATATTATAAAGCGCTAATTTTAGTTTTTTTCCAAATTTATTTATGCAAGTTTATTGATAATACTTGACTTCAACAAAGTTTATTAAAAATAAATTTTAGTTTAATTAAAATAAAGTAAAATAATATGCAATAAATATTTTGTCACAAAACCATAAATAAAATAGATTATTAGTTTGAAGATTTAATCAATGATGTTCATAAATATTAAAATACTATACTTGATATTTCTTTGGAGAGGTTTCTCCTTTCGAGGGAAAGAGAAGGTGAGTGTATTTTGATCATTATTTTCTACATATTTCTGGTTGCATTTCTGTAGGTAAGTTATTATTACGCTCAATATATATATTGAATTTTAAATTTTTGCACCGAAAATGTTGCGAATAATAAACTATATCAGTTTATATTGCGATTAATATCTATATATTATTGTTGCACTGAGAATTAGGGTTTAGAAAAATTGCCACCACCTCCGTTAATTCTAAGGTACTCTAATAATAATAATAATAATAATAATAAATATATGGCAGTTTATGGCGTTTTATGAAAATATGATAAACTTGGTAGAAACACAATATACCGCAAAAAATGTTTAATAAAAATATACGCCCAAGTATTGACCAGATATCATGTCGAGATAAACTCAATAGAGCACCGTTTACAATATTGT